TAGTAAGGGAGAATCGGGTGATTTTTTTTGACGCAAAAGACTTGTAAAAACTGGCCAGACATGTTAATTAGGATTCTGAAAATATTCTCTCCTGATCCTTTCTTCCTTGACAGAGAAAGAGTTCAGTATTGTCCTTTGAGGGATCTCAACTAATTTTAAAATACCATGAGGTTCTTACCCTGAATTCCGCTGAAGAAAATGCACCTTTTCTTTCAGCTAGTCAGTGCAATACACAAAGGATGAGATAGTCAAAGAACAAACAAGTCCCCTAATAGAACAAAGGACACTATTGCATGTGCTGAGCCCATCTTACTCTGGATTGTTTCACCCACTGTTTAATACAGATGAGTTTCTAAGCAATCCCTCGGTGTCCAATGCATAGAGAAAAGTCTATTTGTTGTATGGCTCAGTTTCTTATTTTTCTGAAGGACAATAGAAGACCCCTGTGCTTCATAGCTCTTCTCTGCCAAAGTACAACAGAGCTCTTGTTACATTTTCAGTTAACTTATTCATACATTATGATGGCTTTCTGAGTTGGTGTTCTTCAACACACATCTGCAGAGAGAAGTAGAAAAGTGGCATCATTACGTATTACTCAAAACCTCAGGACTAGTAGCAGAGAAAATCTTCCCCTAACTCTAACAGAGAGTGGGTTTGTATACATTTTAGTTGAGTTCAAATTAGAATGAATTTCCTAAAGACAAGGCATCATTCCTTGCACAGGAAGAGCTGCAGGAGGTTCACGGGCTGTCACAGAGGCGAATAGAGAAGAGTCTGTCTTATAAAACACAGTGTCTCAGAGGAAACAGAGTGACCAGGGTGGCAAATGCTCTTTGTTACCACAAGAAATAATTGGAAGTTACGTAGTTTTGCTCAGCTTTTAATCAGGGTTTAAGAGTGTCATTGCTTATCTGAAATTCAGACAGACATATTTAGCTTGCCAGCATCCAACAGTAGAGCTTGAAAGCTATTAGATAGCAAAAAAATTAACTGATTAATAATAATATTAATTCTGAACAAGGGCAGACAGTGTGTCACATGGTGTGGCCATGTGTGGTCTCATGTAGGAATTCTGATGAGAGTATGGCAGTTCCTGTATCCAAATCTGTAACATTAAATGCTTTTTTTCTTTCTAGCATTGCAGCTTCCAGTATACAGGTCAGAAACAATCCAGAGCCTTTGGTCCTCATTGGAGCAGGGTAGCCAACAATGGACTATCCTTGTGGGGTCTCTCTGGGCAGCCTGAAAGCACAGCTCTGAGAGAAATTGTATTAAAATTAATTTGCAGACCACACCTAACTGCTACGTTGGTTGGGTGTGAAGTGCCAGATACGCTGTTGTCTGGTCTGCACGATCTGCATTGGTTGAATTCAGTGGACAAAGCTAAAACCTCTCCATACACAGAGGTGGGCTGACAATAGAGCTGATCTTTAAAAATTAGAGAGAATTGAACTCCAAAGCAGGAGCAGGAGGAAGAAGCAGTAGCACAGAAATGGAAAGCCAAGTGCCTGGTGTGGGTGTCTGCTCTGGTAGTGGTTCAGTGCCGATCAAAGCCCACTGGAAGGAATCTCCGTGTCTGTGCCCTGGGAGAGCCCCGGGCGGCACCGGTGCTTCCAGGAGGCAGAGTACAGCTGCGGTTAGACTTTATAACACCTCCCTCACCTTCCCTGGGAATCGCCAAGTCTGACTTGGCGAACGCTTTTCAAATTACGGTCGAGGCTGCTCCATGTACCTTGGCATCGACCCACTCCAGGAAGGGGGAGGCGTGTGTAGATAAGCACGTAGGATTGTGGACGAGGTGTTCGCGGTGATTTTGGACTCTCTGCCCAGCCGCCTGGGTGTTGCCGTCTGGAGAAGAGAGCGGTTACTGCGCGAGTATGGCAGAAGCCACGTGCCCGGCGGGCGCGCGTGGGGAGAGCGTGGGGAGGGGGCCGTGCTGGGGCTGCCTCCGTCCTGCCCCTCTCCTGCTGTGCCTGCCCAAGGTGCTCGGAGCGTGCTTTTCCTCGACGTTACGCACAGCAACACTCGCACTGAAAAATCAGAAAGTACAGCTGCACAAAAAGCACTTATTTAACACCTGCCTTTCCACTTAAATAATTTAATGCATTTAATCTGATACTTTCTGAGAATCTCAGAACTACTGATGAATATCACTGGAAGCCCGTGACGCGTCTTCCTTAGTCCCTGTGTTCGATAAGGAGCGCTGGGCCTGCATTTTACCACGGCTCATTTCGGAACTAAGCTGGGCCAAGATTTGCAGGTGTTCTGGCGATGCAGCACCTCATGTCGTGATGCAGATGCCTCTGGGTGTAAAAAAGGAGGCAGCACCCGCTGGCCGAACCACCCTGATCTGGCAGCTTCCCTCTCTGGAAAGTCTGGCATGGGTTTAACAACACACCGAAACTTTCTGAAGAGGAAGACGAGAAGAATCCGGTATCACGACGGAGCTATGGGGCATATTTAAGGAGCTGCTGTGGCCGTTGCAGCATGTGAATAAAGCAGCTCTGCACCCTGCAGCCGGTCTGAACTGAAGAGAGATTTCTGTCCAAGCTGTAGCAGCCACCTCGTTTGCTGCTTCATCAGTCGTGGGCCAAGTGTAAGTCACAGGCATGCTGAAGAAGGGCACAGTCACGGTGACAGTCTCTTGCTGTGGAGGAAAAAAATCATTCTGGTCTGTCCAGCTGGACTTCCCAGGGACTGAGAGGAATTGGGCAGGTCCCTTCACAGCTCTGACAACGATTTGTTGGGTGGTTTTTGGCAGCTTGTCCATTTAATCACTGTATTGCAGCTTGTGGACATATTAAAGCAAAAAGCATGCATATTTAGTAGGACTGTCTTGAGATTTAGACTTATGTAGCATGTTGTGAATTAGAAGCATTATATATCATCTACTGTTGTTGCTACTAAATCAGTAGCAGACTGCTTCAGGTTATGTTATTTTGAGTTTCGTGTCAATAGCTGAGACTATTTTTGGTTTGGATTTTTTTTAGGCCATATATATACATTTATAGTCCTGCATTATTAATAGTTGCTTAAAATTTTCCACAGCTCTGGATATTTCCTTTCACAGGAAAATAGAACAGAAAAGGAAGCTGGAATATATTACTTGCTGCAGTACGATAGTGATAGTAGTACTTCGCAGAGTGGTAGCAGTACTTCCCGCAGTGAATTCTGCTGGTTTGTACGAGGCAGGCAGAGCCTAACAGGTGCACATGTGTGTAACTCCATTAACTTGACAAGAGCGATATTAGTTTAGCCAAGGAAGTGGCCCTGAGGATCTTTTTATATGTTAGAGTTATTGCTTGAGTGGGACACATTCAGTCACTGTGGTTGTATTTATGAGGAGTCATTCAGGCAGGGTTTCATTGGCTTTTTGAGAATGTCTCAACTAAACTGGGAGAACAACATTTTTCGAAGAAGGAATTGCTAGTAGAATTTTTTCCATTCACCTGTTTTTGAGGTTTTTTTCCTTCATTTACTCAAATGTGGACAATAGCCATTTACCTGCATCGACTCCCTCTTGCACTTTCACGTGTCACACTGCTATTAATTCAGAATCGAATCACTGATACAGCTTCAAATGCATACTTCAACCATGGACAACTACTGACCATCATTATCACTGTAAATGCATGCCAGTCATGATGACTATGAAACCTCTGATATTTATTCAAGTATGTACTATTATAACTGATGCATAAAATTCTAGACAAATACTTAAATGTGTATTGCCATAATTAAGCCATTAAAAATGCATGCAAAAGCAACCAGGCATTTATTCTCATTAACAAAAGAGATTTTTTAAAAGTTGTTTCCCTGCAAGCACTATTGTTTTAAATCTGTGCTCCGTGCCTAGTTCTTAGAGAGAACTAACCACATTTCAGGTTGGAAGCCTTGAAATCCAAGCCAGTAATGGAATTCTGATTTTTCTGAAAAAAAAATCCATTCCTATTTGGTAAACCTGTTACTCAAAAGTACTGCTACTGTTTTCTAGCAATAAGAAATTGTGCCAAAAAACCTGTACTCCTAATGAGTCTCTAGTAGAATGAGTCTTTTGCCATTCCCTGTGCAGTTGCATTTGAGATTCCAAAATACAGAGATCTCCCCTGGATTATTTTATAGCTATTTTTTGTTTCATATTTATCATTTAAATCTGCAAAGTGAGAAGTATTAATCAGTGCTCTCAACTGGGCAAATGATCGAAGCTCTTTGATTGACATCCCAAATACAGGTACTAGGAGCATCAATGAGAAGCCGGTGCCATCCCAGCAGGCTTTCCCTGCAGTGATGCTCTCTAAGCAGCAGGTGTCATGTTTTTCTGAGCTGCTGCTATAGAACTAAAAAGGTTTCATGTCTCACTATACTCTCTCATAAGGCAAAAGACGGTGAATACAGAAAAGTGATATATAGAGCAGATTTCTTTCTAGCTTAGGAATGGGCAGAGTTTGGTTACATGGCCAAATGCAGTCTCTGGCCACTCTCTTGTTCATTACAACAGCATGGCCCAAGAGTCAAGCAATTACCAACAGCTTCAACTCATATCTCCCGACAGTAAATGTCTATACATTTTGATTTCTGACAAACCCACCTGATAAGTAATTTCTATTAATTTATCAGCAGATAGACAAGCATATGCCAATATTATGAACGTATCCATTTTTTATGTCAAAGAGGTCATTTTAAAACTACTATTATTTTAAAACTCTCCAGGTTGTTTGATTTCTAAACGTCATTTATTGTAACTGCCATTATTTACGGGCAAACCATAGGCATCAAAAAGAGGGCCTATGCCTTCAGAATCTCAACTAATTATTGCTCTATCTGGCTTTGGCATATAGCCAGCATGGCTCTCATTTGCACAGGGTTTGAGCTGTCCTCTCCTAGAACAATGATTAATAGAAGAATTTAAAATGCTAATTTGTTTAAGGCGTAGAAATTGCTTGTTTTGTGCTTAGTGCTACTAGCTGATATCTTACTACACTGTGCTTCATTTATTCCAGATAATTGATAAGAGCAAGAGAGACCCCTCTGAAGAAATTGAGATCCTCTTGCGATATGGACAGCATCCAAACATCATCACTCTTAAAGATGTGAGTAGTCTTTGAGCACTTCAGCATTAAATGATTTTCACCTCATGGTCAGGCTCACCTGCCAGTCCATGTCTGGAAAATTCTTCAGCTGAAGGTCAGAGCTAAAACCAGACCCACTGAAATCAACGAGAAAAACATGATTTAACAAATTACTGGATAGCAGTTGGAAAAAATCAACGAGAAAAACATGATTTAACAAATTACTGGATAGCAGTTGGAAAGACTGGTCAGGTTGTACATTCTCCAGTTAGCATCTAACCAACTGTCAGTAAAACCGAAGGGGCACAGTGCTGGCGAACAACAAAATGTGTTTGGTTTTGCAGCACTTTTCAGCAGTGAGATCTCCCTAGTTGGGTGTTTTGGAGCAAGTTGCTGAGCACACACACACAGTGGTGCTGCTGGGCAGGGGATGCTCTTTCAGCAGCAGCAGCCATTCCCATGCAGCCTGTGGTATCTGCTGTGTTGGGAAGAGGAGAGCTCACCAAGTCACTCGGGTTTCCCCCGGTAGTGTTCTAATATTTACCTTCTCCTCAAGCAGCCTGAGAAGCCATGAAGGTATCTTTCTTCAGCATTTCATATGAAGAATAGCCTTTGCTATGCTTACATGCAGTAATGACCTTTAGTCGGAGATGTTTTACTTGCGCTGCCTGCGGTCTCACCCACACCTTGTCAGATTCAGAGTTTACAGAACAAAGTTCTGCTGGTGTCGGTGGCCAGTACGTTATGGTTCAGACCTTAGAGAAGTATATAAAAAATTTCTAATCACAACCCCTCAGGAAAGTCTCACCTAATTCCCAACTGTTAAAGAGTATCTTAAAATCTGTGCAAAAAAGGTCTTATATTCCTTTCCAAAAACATCTAGCATTGATGACTACAACACCACCTATTATTGCAGTCCAGATAAAGGATTATGACATGAAAACGGCTGTCTTCCGATTTAGACAAAAAATGCCTTTTACCCCTTGCAATTGATGTTGAAGGTAGATACATCTTGCGGCTGTTGTCAACAATGCATTCACCGGAATTGCAAATCTAAACTATATAATATCATTGGAAGCGGGTCTTGGCCAATAGTATAATACAGTTCATTTAGCTGATCATGAGTCAAAGGGAAATATTGATATTTGAAATGGCAAATGTTACCCTGTAGAAGTGGAAAGAGAGAGCACTACTGAGAAGGAGGCTTGGGTGAGAGCCAGCAGACATTTCAGGCTGTGCAAAGTGGTGCTGCTGCTTTTAGCAGCTTGGTCTGCTCTGCTGACATGATAGCAGATTAGGAAAGCTGTGTTTCTGTGTGGACAAATCAGCAAGTTGCTACAGACCCAAGAAAAAAGTGATGATTAGGTCATTTTATAAAGTTGCCTTTTCTGTTGTTAAGCGTAATAAGCACGTTTCCCACACATTAGCTGATATTTTCTTCTCGCAACATCTCGCACAAGCAAGCCAACACTGTGATTAAAGGACCAACCTTTACCAGGTTAATGGGTCCAAACCATATATTTATTCTATTACACTTCCAGGTCTATGATGATGGGAAATATGTGTACCTTGTGATGGAGCTGATGCGGGGAGGCGAGCTCCTGGACCGCATTCTTCGGCAGAAGTGTTTCTCAGAGCGGGAGGCCAGTGCTGTGCTGTGCACCATCACCAGGACTGTGGACTACCTGCACTCTCAGGGCGTAAGCATTGCTTTTTTGGCTATTCGCATCAACATTCTTAAAATTTGACTTTTAGAAAAAGCAAATAGCTGTGATTTTGCTTCTCTGAAATGTAAATACTTTTTTTTCCCCAAAAAAAGTCTTTCTCCATATTTATAATTACATTTGGTTTTTGAAAGAGCATAATAGGGTTTTTAGCCATTTCCCAACTGAACTGCAGTATGCTGAAGTCGTATTTTCATTCCCAAACTACGCTGATTTTCAAGTTCATGTACCTTGTTGAGATATTACTTGTTTACTTTTTATCACAGTCATCATTGCAGTACCTGATCTTTTAGCAGAATTTCAAATAGGGTCGCTGAATCAGCAGATAGGTAGAAAATCAAATGCTCAGCTTTCCAAATGAAGTGGCAGTTTGAGCAGCTGATGGGAAAGGCTTCTGACATGCTGTTAAAGAGCTGGCTTTTAAAATCTAAGCTCTCTATATATGGCAGTTTGAAATTTTTTCCCTTTTCTACTTTTCAGGGACAAGCAGTTTGGATGACTAGTCAAATATTTGCTGCTTTTTTCTGTTTCATCGTTAAAACAAGTGCATTTTTTGGTTGGGCTTTTATGTGTTCATGATAGTTTGTCAGTCTTGCTATAACAAATAAAGGCTGTTTTCCCACTACTGAAATGCAGCATGTCTGGTAAAACATGCAGCCACTTGAAGTTGCGTCCCTACAGAAAGGATTTTTGTGATACATTTTGAAAGGAGGAAAAAAAAAATCCCTCCCTTCAGGTGTGAGCCACTCACATTGACAGTCGCAAGAAGCCCCTTACACACTTTCCTCCTACGATGGGATTTCTTCTTCGCCTTTCAGCTGAATATTTAGGGCCATCAGGTCGCAGGAGACTCTGACACTGACGTGTTTGTACAGCAACCCCCTCTGACTGCCCTCAGAAAAGGTGTCCCCCCTTAGAGCAGCAGCCTCCATCTTAATACACCAGCAGAGGCTGTCGAACATGTTCTTTCTGATTTTAACAGACTTTAACCTTTTTTTTCCCTTCATTTGCCCAAGGCTTTTAAGCAACTTTTCTCCAAAACTTAAATATTTTCAGCATGAGCTCTTGACCTACCTCAACCAGCAGACCAGATATGGCAGCCAAGCCAGGATGCTCCCTGACCTCCTCTCCTCACTTGTTACTCACTGCTTTCTTGTTAAGGTGGTGCACCGAGATCTCAAGCCAAGTAATATCCTCTACATGGATGAGTCAGGAAACCCAGATTCCATCAGGATCTGTGACTTTGGGTTTGCCAAGCAACTGAGAGCGGAGAACGGGCTGCTCATGACTCCCTGCTACACGGCCAACTTTGTGGCCCCTGAGGTAGGATCACTTTTCAAAGCCGTGAGTAACGAGCCTGTCCTAGGAAGCAGTCCTTCCTCCCTCTCTCCCTTTTCCTCCCTGCCTTTACAAGAGGAGCAAGGCAGAAACCAGGCTACCGGCACTTGCACAGCCTTTATTACCATAATTTTCCTATTCCTGATCTTGTCAGGGCAGTTGTTTCTTCTGACAGAAGCCGGTGTCTGTCTTGGACTGACGTGCACAATGCTTCGGCTCATTACTAGGATAAATAGCCTTTTTTCTCTAGCTGCTTCTGCTCAGCTGCTTCCCCTCTAGTGCACTGCATCAGAACGGGATAAGGCTTAAGAGGGAAATCTTGTTGTCAGGAGTAAGAGTCAAAAGAAAAATCCATGCATGAAATCCTTACCACGCCAAAGTCAGTGGGAGCTTTATTGTTGACTTCATTGAGCTAAAGAAACGTCTCTCCTCTTGGCTTTCCTAGTACCAATCCCCCCTGTTATGGGGGAATGTAGGAAAGGGCTGCTTTCCTGTTTTTACAGATGGGGAAATGGAGGAAGACCAAACAGCTTGCCCCAAGCATGGGGAGAGGTGGCTCTGCATCACTGGCGAGTGCTGTTCCTTTCACGCTGCCCCACAGGAGTGGGCTTGGGTCCCACAGCTGTTTGAATGCTTTGAGTTTACTTGACCCTTGGGACATTCCTTCCAATGAAGGAGCAAGAGGTTAATTTCCTGGGTAATTGTCCATTTCTTGGAGTGATGCTTATCAGCAATTTTAGTATTTGCAATACACAACTTCAAATGTATGTCTTCCTCTGCTTGTTATGGTCCTTGTAAGAAAAATACAAAACTATTGCTCTTCAATACTTCATCTGTCCTCTACTGTCAAATACCACTGTCTCCCTGTTGGTATCATTCAGCAATCTTTTCTTCCTCATAACTCTTCTCCATCCAATGTTCATCTGCGTGGTATGTAACTGGGAAGAGAAAAATGGGATGATCTTTCCGTACAAGGTCCTTTCGTGACCAAAAGTTACAGGAATCACAGCCTTACAGCATCAGAAGGAACATTTGCTAAATTGAGACCATTGCCGGGGCAGCATAAATTCAAAGCAGATTTTTTTTGGTAAAAAATCTGCCATTGCCAAGACAGATTGGTTTGTTGTTTTATTGCTGTTTGGTTGGGTTTTCATTTTAGAAACTGGAATGAGCTGTTTAAAATTTATCAAAATACGTAAAAAAAGTTCTGTGGCACCACAGCAGTTCAATTTCTGAACCAAAAATAATCATGTTTGGAAGATTTAAAGCACTCAGGTTTTCTCCAAGGTACAATGTGCTTAACATAGATATAGCTGTTTTTCATGATGGGCTATTGTGTATAGTGTCTGTAATCACAAACGGTGCCGGCCCAATGCAGTTTTAGATCAGACTCTTCTGATTTGAACTGAAAGCAGAAATCACACTCCCAGATGTTTGTGATGAGTAAGACAGGGACTGCTAATGCAGGAAATGTTGGAGATTAATTGAAACATTACCAGAACTGGCAGAGGGATTACATAAAGCCTTAAGTGCTTTTACATTTTACCTGTGATATAATGCTGCCCTGCAGCCGGGACTTGACTTTCACGTTCCCCGCCTGAGCCCCGCTGCGACGTCTGCCATACACCCACGAAACTAAACAAGGCGGCAGAAAGTCAGCCGAGCTGATGCCACAAGAGAACAGTGGCAGAGGAAGGAGGACATGTTTGCCCACTTGGATCTCCCTTTATTTTGGAAACATTTAATTTGGGGGTTAGATGAGAACATGAGCAAAGATGAAGGCTATCTGGGAGAAAGACGGTGGCTGCCACCTAGTGCAAGCCATGCTGTGTGCAGGGAGTGAAGAGCTAGCCTGGGTCAGGAGGGAAAAGGCAGCCTGCTGTTTCCCTACTGATGCAGTAGGGTCCTTTTGGATAAAGTAAGAATATTTTATTCTGCAGTTTTCCTCCAAAATCCGTGAAGAACTACTCGTTTGGCGTTGTTTATTAGCTTTCATACCCATACGCATCTCTGCTTGTGTCACAACTGAGAAAAGCCTGTGTTCGTAGTATTGTTAATCCAATAAAACAAAGCATATAGAAATAAAAGGGGGTTGGATAAATATCCGAGCCATTATCAGAATTGGGTGAACCCAGGGGAAGTTTGTTCCTTGTCACCACAACGCCCTGCCACGTGTGGCACCAAGAACCAGCTCTTGCCTGTATTTCAGATCCCACCAACTTCCTGAGGTGACCTAAACGCCCCTTCACAGGTGGTAAATTCTTCAGCATCGATTAGAGCAGGACACCACTGCCTGTTTTGCAAAGCTCTTTCCCCGACTGATCTATTTCTAAGACACATGCCTGTTCCTTTTTGATAATATCTGCCCCCTAGATCAAACACTAATCGTTTTGGCCAAGGTTTCCCACACTTGCTCCTGCCAGCTCAGTGTTCTTGCTTTAACCACAGTTGCACAGACCTACTGGAGACATTTTCAAATAGCAGCGACACCAGCTGATAACTCTCACTAGATCCTGTTGTTATCCGTGGGGTGAAGTTGCTGTCGATAAAAAGTAACTGCCAGCAAAGCTTTCCCTAGACACTGGCACAGAGTGAACGTCCCTGTTATCTAGCAGCATTCTTGCAAACTGAATGACAGCACACAGCAACACCTGCTCATCTCTTTAGGGTTGTGTAACCGCTTGCTTAATACCCTGCTCCACTCAATATCATCACTGCCCCTTTTTTCTGCCATTTGCCTTGGACTCGGTTGTCCTTGGTTATTGGAGGCAATGAAAACGTAACTGTTCAAGAAGCAATGAGAATGGCCACACCAAAAGATAAATGTTGGGTATTCGGTCTCACAAGTGAAGCAAGAAGCAACTGAGTTTGTCAAAGAGCAAAGAAGTTTTTCCCATAAAAACTAACATTAATAGAGGGGGAATGAATGCAGGACCTAAAGTTATAGAAACAAATAAAACCGAGACCATATATATGATGCACAGCAGAGAGAGGCAGAAGCAGGATTTTACCAGCTTTGTCAACAGGAGGAAATGCGGCTTTTTCTCCATTTTTTTTTTTCCAGGTAGCAAATGTTCGCTCAGCAGCATACCTGGCAGATGGCTGCTTTACCACTCATCATTTGTAAAATCTGTCGAGGCAACATTTTCTGAAACTGCTTTTCCCTAGCAGTTCTTGGTCTTTTCTGTGATGGACTTCAGAGAGGTGAAATCACTCCTGGGTAATAAGGCTGCAGGTCAGAGAAAGACTTGCTGAATTTGTACATTCCTTTTTCATGTGCTTTGCAAAAAATTAATGTATCTACTGATCCATCAGAAGGGGACAAAACTCTCCTTGTGTATGAGAACTGAGTAAACAGAAGGGTAGTTTGCTTTTACGAGCAAGTGGAAGATCTGGGGGTGGTCCATGAGCTTTTCTGAGCCAAGCAGAAACAAAGTTCTTCCCCTAAACTCAGCAACGCTGCCTCAGTTGGTGACTTCACTTTCGCTTGGACCTGCACTGACTCAAATAGGCATTTCTTCTAGTATACGCTAGCATAAATGAAATCTAGATTTTACCCTTACTGCTATAACTCGCCATCCTGTACCAATATTGAACCTACTAGTCAGTTCTCTGCTGAGTACCACGGGTCTTGTTTTCCCCGTAGGAAAAAGGGATCAAGTTTTAGCCTGTTATCTCTTAAGTCCAGTCTAAATGTGTCCACTTTTCTTAATACAGAAGTAAGATAAGAATAAGCCTTTTAGCTTTCTTTGCTGTTGTCATGCATCTTTACTAGTCTGACATTAGGTATGCATTAGTGTGCATCCATTTATTGTATCAAATCCAATCTGAGCTCAGCCCTGCTTATCACTGTCACTCAGCCCTGCGCTTGTTGCATCCACGCTGTTCTTGGTAACCTTTATGTTAAGAGGATACGTTTCAAAGTATTGACGAGCTTTTTTTTAAGAAACATTTTAAAACACTGAAATGTCATTCTGCTTTGCTGTGTGTTAGATGGTCAGAGAGGCTCCCAGAGCCTCCAACAAACTGCATTTATCTCTGTCTCTGTGGAGGTGACAGATGTGCTGGGCTTGAACACTAACCAGCTCATTCCAGCCTGGGCTTCACCTTGCTCCACACCACTGCTGAACGTTTTGATCCTGAGGCAGCCACCTGTTCAAGCCAGACAGGCGGTTAAACCCTGGAAATGTCCGCAGATACAACCACTAATTGGTGCTTTCTGAAGATCAGGAGCTAAAAATTCAGGAATGCAGATTAACCTATTTTCGTCTCTCTCTTTCCTTCACATAGGTCCTTAAACGCCAAGGTTACGATGCAGCCTGTGACATCTGGAGCTTGGGGATCCTGCTGTATACCATGTTGGCAGGGTGAGTGAAGAGGTTTTCCTAGAGCAGCCGTCTCCAGTGGTCTTAGCACTTTAGCACTGATTAAGCCAGAAAGGAGTCACAGAGAGAGACAGCAAACTGTCTGGCCTCCTCTGAGAAACATGCTCAGTTGTATGAGGCAAGAAAAAGATGCCAAGACCTGGAATTAAAATAAGTTTTTCCAGAACACATAAATATCTTTGATACTTTACAAGTTGTTTAGGTTTTTAACAGCCTGGCCCATAAGCATGCGCTGAGACCTAGACTCCTAAAAGGCTCACTCACCACTTAAGCAGTTGTCGTGGTTTAACCCCAGCCAGCAACTCAGCACCACGCAGCCGCTCACTCACTGCCCCCCCATCCAGTGGGATGGGGGAGAAAATCAGGAGAAGAAGTAAAACTCCTGGGTTGAGATAAGAACGATTTAATAGAACAGAAAAGAAGAAACTAATAATGATAATGATAACACTAATAAAATGGCAACAGTGGTAATAAAAGGATTGGAATGTACAAATGATGCGCAGGGCAATTGCTCACCACCCGCCGACCGACACCCAGCCAGCCCCCGAGCGGCGAATCCCTGCCCCCCCCCACTTCCCAGTTCCTAAACTAGATGGGATGTCCCATGGTATGGAATACACTGTTGGCCAGTTTGGGTCAGGTGCCCTGGCTGGGCATGAGAAGCTGAAAAATCCTTGACTATAGTCTAAACACTACTGAGCAACAACTGAAAACATCAGTGTGTTATCAACATTCTTCGCATACTGAACTCAAAACATAGCACTGCACCAGCTACTAGGAAGACAGTTAACTCTATCCCAGCTGAAACCAGGACAGCAGTATGAAAGTTTTAGACTAGGAGAGAAGCATAGGAGTGTGAAGGGCCATACCATGTTCACCTTATCCACAAGAGGATGTTAATTTGTTTCTATTAATACATGTATTCCCTTCCGCTTCATTCTTCTTCTACTGTTGTTGTTATCAAGGTAACTGAGCACCTTTAAAGGCTAAAAAAACCAACCCAAAATCCAAGCATAATTTTCAGATACTATTTGAAAAACATGCTTCAGAAAGGACAGAAAGTAAATGAACAGACCAGCAAGAACAGCAACAGGCAGCAAGAACTTGGCAAAAATATACTTAGCAATGTATTGGCTAAAGTTAAATATTGACACAAGAAGACCCAGACAATGAGACGGATTGAACTAAGCAGTGAAGGATAGGAATAAGATGTACTGGGTTGAATGGGAAGCACAGTTTGCAAACCCAACCTGGAGTTATCAGGCCCCTGAATTTCATTTCTCAGGGTATGGTATGTGCATATTTATCGTACCTAAATGCAGCTTGAAACTTTTCAATGACGTCTCACAGGTCTTTAAGCTGCTTCATGACCATTCAGCTGTGGCAAGAAGCTTGGATTCATCCCTAGATTTATACAGAAAACAAAGAGTTGGACCCTACCTTTCTGTTATTCATGTCTCTTGCCTCATGGATTGTAGAAAAGTTGCCAGGAGTTCCTGTCCCATTTTGTTCCTGAGTACAAATGTGTTCATCATTAGCTGAAATATATTTTGACTTGCTGGGGCAGTCCCCCAGTCTGCTGGGATCTCAGAAAACCTGTTTCCATTTGGCTAATGCCATAGATTTGCAGTGATGCACAACCAGAATCAGGAAAATAAAATCAACACATTATCCATAGTCGCATTTGTTTAGCTGATTATATTAAAAATGCTTCCTTTTTAAATGTGAAAAAAACCCACCAAACCAAATATATTTGAATCTGAAATACAAATTGCACAACTTGGTGGATATTAAATTTGCCGACAGGTGCTATTAACCTGTATCTCACTTTTTTCTGCACTTAGAAAATAAGAGTAATGCGAACAGTTGAGAAGTGCTGACTTTTTAGGTACCACAACTACAGTTAAGGATGGTCTTGTTCTTCCTCACCAGAGGAGAGTTAGTAGGAACTGACTATTATTTGCATCCAGGATTTTATTCTCCTCCCGTCATCACTATGAGCAGAGAGGGCTCAGACAGCCAGGATGAGAGCACAAGCCTGGGATCCTGTTATTGCAGGTAGTGACCGACCTCAGAGTTTTAGCCAGTCCTTAACACTTAGTGCATCTCTTCTGACAGTTATAGATTGGAATAATATTATGTATCTCCTTGGGCTGAACTTCTGTGAAGCCTGAGATGTTTTTGAAAATTAGAAAATACAGCATGAGGAATTGAATTTGCTACTAGAAACCAGGTGGGATAGCAAGCTGCGGCCAAACTAACTGTTTAACGATCTAAAAACTACTCTGGCAAGTTTTCAGAAGAGAAAAGACAGATGGAAGGAAAACCAAAATAATACCCACTTCTTCTAAATCTACACAGCTGTTCAAGATTGCAGAGTAAAACTTGGCCTGATAGATTTTAGTCAGTCACAAAAATCTTATCACTTGTCACTTTATGAAGACAAAAAGTGTGCCTTCTGCATGTGACGCTAATTTTGTAAAGCTGGGTGCATGTTACTAGTCGTTTCTGACTGGCTAGATCAGGAAGTAACCTATTGCAGATCATTTGTTTTGCCCAACAGACTTGCACGTTATGGTTAACAAAGCATTGCAAAATAGATTATAAAGGGTTCTTTTTTCTTCTCCATTTTTCTGTTTCAGATCCTAATTTTTCTCCTTTATTATTTTTATCCTTTCTTGGCATTATCAAGGTACTTCTGTTGGCAATGAAGCAGAGGTAAAACAATTAAAGAGGTAAAAACCTGTCTATTTTTTTAAAAGAATATTTCATTCCTAAAAAATGAGAACAGAACAAAAATTTAAAAAAAACAATTAAGGAATCAGTCTTTTCCTCTGCAGAACAACTTAATATGAGGAACCACCGGACTGTATCGTTTGAGTGAAAATGAAGCAGTGATGTCTGTGGTCCATTCTGGAACCAAATTCCTGTTGTAATCGGTGGCAGTTAGCACTAGATCCTAGAAATCATATACTTGCAAATTACACTGTACTTTTTTCTCTTTTTTTAAACAGGTTCACTCCTTTTGCAAATGGACCAGATGACACCCCAGAGGAGATTCTGGCCAGGATTGGCAGTGGCAAATACGCACTTACAGGAGGAAACTGGGATTCAGTATCTGATACTGCAAAGGTCAGTGAACACTTCTCAGATTTTGTTCTTGTTCTCTGAAAGGGGCTAGCAGTCTGCAGGTGTAACAAACTTAAGAGAGAGATAGTCAGAAAGGTTATTTCTCAGTGCCTCATGAAATAAAAGCTTGCTTCTTTATGCTTATACCACTCTGCATGAAATACTGTGTCAGGAATTTTGGTAGTTTGTTTCCTTAAACTAGAGCATAATATAACGCCATCAGTTGTGAATGCTCTGGAGATTGAAATAGCACAGAACTCTTTTTTGGTGCAACTGAACTTTTAAAAGAAGTGTAGGGTTGTCAGTGCCACAAATGTATGGTCCCTACGTGAATCACCTTTTTGCTCCTCAAAGTTACAGAGGAGCAGACAGGTTACAACCTAGCATTTTTAAGTCCTGTACAGTTCACAGTTTTGGCTGCCCATCTATCACAAAGCATGGAAAACCCAGGAGATAAAATACATCTGGTGCTGAGACTTCTGGGCACGAAGCTGTGTACTAGTCTATGAGACAGGTAGGTGGGCAGGAAAGGTGGCAAGCTTCCAGTTGCCTGACATTAATCAAAAACTTTGACAGGATTTAGAGATTCCTGCAAGAGATTTCAGGTTTAGCAACTGGTAGTATCCAATGGAAGAACATTCATATATCCCACCACAAAACTGCGAGCAATCCTAGTAACATATTAGTCTTGCTACCAACACCTATGAGCCTCACAATGTATTTTTCATCAGATGTCCAGTTTTGAAATTAAAATGTTCAGATGTGGTAGCACTGATCTTATTGAATTTTAGCCGCCTGAATGTTAGATTTCTATTCTAAGCTTCTTTTGCAAGCATGTTTTGGAGTCAGTGAGGAGATGCCTCCCGATGGCAGCCTCTCTCGGTGGAGTTTACCACCCCTGCGACGTCACCGGTAACTAACACTCACTCAATAAGCTGAATTCCCTCCACGTTATCTTTTGACGGGATTATCAGCTGAGAGTTGAACATTACACTTGAAAATTTTAAAGATGAGACTTTACACTTAAAAAATACAAAGCATATCTGAAGTGCATCCCTCTCTCCATTGGACATGCTGGTGATGACACTGCCACCGGGAAGATCTTAGTAAAACCTGCACTGCTATTAACTACTTTTTCCCTTTTACTGTTTTATTCCTTTTAAACCCAGGACATTGTGTCTAAGATGCTTCACGTAGACCCTCATCAGCGCCTCACAGCAGTCCAAGTCCTAAGGCATCCATGGATAGTGAACAGGGAGTACCTGTCTCAAAACCAGCTCAGCAGACAGGACGTTCACCTGGTGAAGGTACGTCCTACACCCCTGCCTCTTCCTTCCTTGCAGAATGAGCTGTCATTTCTGTAAATATTCTGGAAAGTGACAGAGGAATTGGGAAGATTATTTGCCGCAGAGGCCAAATTTAATATGGCACTGTGTTAACAGTAAAGAGTTTTGACCTGCCACCTGCTTGATATTTTTAACTTCAAGCTGCCTTGTAATGACCTGGTGGCATTCTGTGCACATACTGCTACCCACCGCTTTTTGAGTCAGAGACACCCCAGTGTTTTGCCAGCCTAAATGTTTTTATCATTTCATGGAGACCATCCACGCATGTCCATTTTTCAGGGGACTGAATAGGGGAAGGGAGGGGAAACACATCAAAGAACTGAATTTCAGCCCAGCATTTTCTCTTTCTCTATTTTACAGGGTGCAATGGCAGCCACTTACTTTGCTTTAAACCGAGCACCTCAGGCACCAAGGCTGGAGCCTGTATTGTCCTCCAATCTGGCTCAGCGGCGGGGCATGAAAAGACTTACCTCTACCAGGTTGTAGCAGTACCCCCAAAAGGCCTCTTTGAAAAATCACCATTTATTATTTGAGAAATTCACCTTTACTTGGCTAGCAGAACTTTTTTGGACAACTTGCACATGAAATCGCCAGAACTAGCAGAAGCCCAGCGTAAGGCAAAGTTCTCCTTTGCTCTGTCATTTCTTTTACATTCCAGCCAGGGTCCCGAGTTTAACAACTTCATAAAGATGTGCCAATTTTGCCAGTAGCTCTGTTTCCTTACTGAGATAAAGCCAAATAAAGTAGGTGTGCTCCATCCTTCCCACCCTAGGAATTACTATTTCTGAGTCCTTAAGATGTTCCATGGGAACACTGTTTTCATTTTGTTTCTCAAGAAAAGCACTTTTTGCTATGAAGAATGAAGTCGAGTTTGAATGTTTTCAGCTGTTGCAGCGTGCATCACGAGGGAGTGACTTGGCCGGTCACCAGTAGACATCTACTGATCTCCACTCACCCCAGGAAGAGTGAAGGCTGCAGAGACACATGAATAGTACCTTACTTGAAACAAGTGCTGTACAACATGAAGGGGAGTGAGCTGTCAGTGGTGGAAATACCTTCTGATTTCAAGAGATCTTTTGCACTTTGCCCCTGCCCTCTCTGGAATGACGCCAGCACCGCTCAAGCAGTGTGTGCCACCAGCCCTGACTTACTCGGAGGTCTCCGAGAGCAGAAAACCTCTGAGAAACTCGGTCCTCTGAGGAAATTATTGGGTCTTACGAGACTGTGGGAAAGCGTTCTCGTAAAACAGTGTGAGTAGGAGCCTGTGGATCAGGGGAGAAAAAGGTGTCTGGTCTTGGCCAGTGACCAGGAGGTCTGGGAGGACTAGGCGAGCGGGCTGGGGAACCGAGCAGAGGCAGGGAAAGGCGCGGGATGCTTTGAGGACAGTGGGCAAAAAGACCCGTGGCAGCGTGCTGGGGAGCACTGCCAAAGGGAACTAGGGTGCATGTGCCTGGGGGGCAAACTGGGACTCCCTTTAAAAGCGAGGGACGGTCCCTCCTCAGCGGCGGGTGCCGAAGAGGGTGGGTGGGCAGCCGGGCTGCCGAGGGGCCGGGTGGGTCGGTGCAGCCGTCCTCCCACCCCGTCACCGGGTCTGCTCACGGAGACCGGCTCTGGCGGGCCAGAGGGCCACCCTGGGGCTCCCTGCCCTTCCCTGGCTGCTCACCCGAATCCGCCTCCGTCGCCCGACGTTTCGTGTCCCTGCCTGGCCGTTCTGCTCTAGCAGAGCTAAACTCCCTGTGCCACGTGTGTGTGGAGAGTACCTGCTTCTGAAGAGTCCAGCTAACTCTGTTACAAGCTTTAATAATAATAAAAAATTATGAGGAGAAACGGGAGGATGCTCTGCTTTTATATTTATATAAATATGTACATGTGTATTTATATACATATAAAAAAAAGTTCTGTACCCTAATACCTGGATTTTCCAGGTTCATGGAAAGAAAACTGTGTTAAAACCGTCTCAGCAAAATGGACCTTTTTTCTCATTCCCTGATTTCAAAGAAAGTGAGCAAGGTTTGTGGTGCCAGATGTGAACTATTTTTTTATTCTTTTTCTTACCCATCTTGGCTTATGGTGGTCACAAGCTGACCAGGATACTTCTTTGTACTGCCTTTGTTAATTTTTATTTTCCAAGTAAATCTTGTCACCTCAGATGCTTTGTGGGAAAAGCTAATACACTATGTTGGCTTTTTTTCTGCTGTGATGGGAAAAAAAGGAAAATGTGAACATGGAGCTTCATATGCTAGAGATGGTAATTTTTCCTTGCTGGGTAGTATGTGTGTCTTGGTGCTGGACTGGAATTATCGGATCATTGCTTCAGAGTGTCCAAGGGAACAAGGAGTTGCATTTGCTATAGCAATATGCTTCCTAAAACAAGCTCTGTTCCAATGTTGACTGAAATTTGTTTGTTTGCATTAGTCTATTTTTAAATTTAAATTTATTCTTAATAATTTAAACCGATATTTAATGTTCAAGTTTATGTGCTGTGCACAGAGGACCGCTGCGAAGCAGCTCTCCTTGAAGCCCTTCTCTTTTCCAGAATAAACAATGCTGTGAAACTTCACACAGTGGCTGAATTGGCTTGGACTGATGTGTGCAAACATGCGCAGGTGTGTGTCTGTGGTTATATACACAGCAGCCCTCATTCTCTCCTCTGGCTAAGCTGTGCTCAGTATCGGCTTTTTGTTGCCTTTACACTTTTCCTCTTCTTAGAAGTTAAGTCTCATATATTTCCGCTAGCAGCACACCGCGAGGCAAGTCCACAGGCAAGGGATATCCTGGCTGATGCAGAAACGCTCTGGCCAGCCCTTGTTTCCCTGTAGGTGACTTCTGTCCTGGAAGAAGGCAAGGTGGGCACAAGGATGCTAAGGGCAACCTGGAGGGAAGGCTGGATTTTCTGGGGTCCCAGCTGATTTGTGCTGTTTCAACAAAATATATTTTTAATGGTCAGTGTAATTGTATTGTATATGGGCAGAAAGAGTGTTGTAAATATTATGTACGGTTTTTGTCTCCCCCTGAGATTTCCTGGTCATCTTCCATTGCTTCAGTTTGCTTTCTCTTGACAGCCATCGGAAACAGTCTAATTCCTTCTTGATATACTCAGTCTTAATTCTTTGAGCAGTTTTTTCATCTGAATATTATTGTAGGCCAAGCTCACAGGATGTTGCTCTTCCTGAAGTTTAATGGTTTAAATCTCTCCCTGATTTAGCTCTTTCTAACCCACCAGCTATCACCCTATTAACCATACAAGGTCTGGGCCACATACAGAATGATACATGTTGATGCTCATTAATTATTTTATAAGCCTAGAAATTACATATGAGGGGGTTTACTTATTAAGATTTCGTTGCCAGTGCATCCAGATGTATGCGCATGTGTATGTATATGTAAATACACAAAAAAAGTGCTGTCCCAGCTTGTCCAAATGAGGATAGAAGTGTAGTCAGTGCTTGAGGTGATACTTAGAAGAGTTTTGTCTGTCTGCGGCATTCTTGAAAATCTGTCATTGAAAACAGTAGTGGTTACTCTTGGTGTGGATTCGTGGCTGTGCCCATCCATGGAAGAAGCTGTCCCGTCCAGCCTCCCCTCTGTCCCAACCATGCATCCCCGTGCACCCCCAAGGCAGATCAGCCCCCCCTCCCCAAGACTTGCCATGGGAGGTGCTCCTCCGAGGGTCTTCTGTCCTGTTTCAGTCAAGATGAACCCAATTTAACCATTTCCACTGTCAGTCTTGCTGATCCAGCTCACTTGGACTGAAATACCAGAGCCTCCATCGCAAATCCAAGGGCAGAGAGGGAGGAATAGGCTGTTGGCACTCGTTATTTCATACTGATGGCACCCGCCGCCTCCCCTGGTCCAGCTGGATCCAGGCGAAGAAGCATGGCCATGGCCTAATTACTGCTACAGCTGCTTCTATACCAGCATCTCCTTTCCAGACTCCTTGCTACAGTATAGCTCAGCAATAAGCATTTATTCTTTCCAGGAGAAAACTTAACTGAAAAAAGCTTAGCGCCTTTCTCTCTCTCTTTCTCTCTTTTTAATCTTAAGGGACTTTTACTAAATGTTATGTTTAACTCCTGAAAGTCTAATAATCACTTTGAATTAGATCATACCATCTTGCAGGTTAATAGTCCACAGAGTGACGGAGTGCCTTAGGCTATTACAAAAAGTATAGTTACATTTCTGAGCCATCACGGCATGCAAAACAACGACCGTCCAAGGCACACTGAAGTGTGTGTGTCACAGACATAGTCAGCTCCTCTGGAGAGCCACTTTGAAAGCTGCCCAGGAGAGTCTGCCCGGCAGGGAGGAGGCATCTCCCCACACTTGGCGGAGCTGGACCCCACCTCGGCAGCTCCAGGACTATGACGAAACCAGAAGGCCCTGATGAAGAAGATCGTGGGAAGTTACCCCAGTTCCTACACAGCACCACAGGTTGTGTATATGGCAAAGGTGGGGGAGATGCTGCTCAGATGGAGGGCTGACCCCCGCCTCCAGTTCCCCATGAATTTTTACTTGTTTAAAATCTGTTTAATTCTTTCTGAGCCACTTTTAACAGCAGATAGCATTTATAAAGCCTGACTTTTTCAGCAAACCACAAGTGACCCTCACAGATACTTTGTAATCAATCTCTACATCAAAAAAAAAAGTCCATCTGACAATAGGTTCTGGTTTGCTTCTCCAGAAATTCATCTTCAGCAGCTCCCTCAGACAGCCCCGGGTACTGGGGATAACCCAGGCAGAGAGAGCTGGGAGAAGCACGTCGTGTGACATGACGTTGTGACATGATGTTGCGTGTCACGCTCTTACAAAGTACCAATTGTGTGTCCCTGTGCTTCGTCTAACCCTGAATGTACTGGGACTCTTCTCAGCCAGACTTGGGGCTGAATAGGTTTTGGACTGAGTTTGAAAGGGACGATAAATCTGTTGGCTTACAGGGTAGATCAGGCTCCGTTAGAAATCAGTATGCAGATCTTTAAGGGACAGGCTGGTTTTGCCTGCGTAGTGCAGTGCTCTCTCTAACAACTTGTACCCGGCTCTGGTACATCCGAATACATCCGAACCTTGGTCGAGTATGGCAGTTGCTCTATGTATATGATATGAATTATGCCAGGGCTTGGATCATCCCCTAAGCCACGAGTGCCACAAGAGTTTCTCATGCCGCTGGTCCACAGAGCTTATGCCAGCATATGCAAGTGCTGATGCTAAAAAAAGGCAGGCAGTCACTCTCTCTTGACCTCAGCTGCTCATCTGTCCTGTCGCACCTCCCTTAGCCAGGTCACCACCGGGCAAAGCAAAAGTCTGTGCGTCACAACAAGTGGCTGGGGACAGCAGGAAGGCTACAGCGTCTTTTTTGCCAGCAGTGCTGTCAACGCATTGGTGTGGCTGCAGCATCGGTGTCACCTCTGTCCCTCTGTTTCTGAGTTACGCCGAGCTGAGCCCAGGTGTGGCTCAGAGTCAGGGTGATAAACGATGGGATGTTTGTATAGCAGCAGGTCACCAGTGCCAAGCTGTGCACACAGAGGGGGACAACACGTCCAGGCTTCTGAAAATTGGCCACAAGTTCATATAAATGCCCTGAAACCAGCAGGTGTAGGGCCACAGATGACATGCCATGGGGACAATAATGTTGACTGTGTGTATTTTTGCCACCATTGCCTTTATAAAGAGGATAGAAAAAATCCTGGGGTTTGCTTTTAAATTACCCATTTTTACAGAGGAAATTCCTGGTTTTGTGGACTGCTACAGCTTTCTAGATCCCTAGTAGGAGTAAG